GACAGCCGTTGATGTACACTGAACGATGGAAATGAACCGCGAAAATGCGCTATTCAGAGAAGAGATGTGTCTCATATGTCGCCTCTGGTCGTCATTGCTTCCTTAGTTAGGTGGACGTTCAATCCGGAGGAAATGGTTTGATAAGACCGATGGTATGCATTTGATGAAGTATTCAGATTGGTCGGAATCGCTTATATGCCCCTCCCCCCCCACCTGTAAGATACGGAAACGGGAATACCCCTTCGCCCCGTAACTCAAGGAGAGTAAACATTCTCGTGTCCTAACCTTAACTTGAACTTTAGTCTTGACCGCAATCATAACCTTAAGTATAATGCCCCTGGAATTTAGCGCCAAGCGACCTGCATTACGAACATTCCCCGGTGCATATGCATGATCCTTACCGACAGTTTGAACAATCAGATGAGCTTCTTGGTCCTAAGGCGTGTTTTCTACTTCCAAAAAGGGTTAATATACGCGTGGGTGCGCACCTGACGTAGATCGAACTATCTTGCGAATGACACATGGAACAAAGAGGGAGAAGTTTGCCATCAAAGAAGCAGGGTCAACGCTCGTCTAGAATGAACGAAGAGCGGGCATAAACTGTAGTCATTATCACTAAACACTGTGAGTTCTTCCGTCGTACTTGACAACAACCATCATTATCGCCCCCAGCGCAAGCAGTAGTGATTAGTAGCCGATTTGGAGTATAAGTACGGAACGACAAACCCACTTTTGTTGAGCCAATGGCAAGCCAAGATCAAGACTATTGGAGATGGACTTGGGTATGGTGAGAAATCAGGTCGAAATTAATGTCTCTAACGGACTTCATATCTCGATATCAATAAATCAAAAGCATGTTCTCTCGGGGTACGGTCGTGCATGATCATCTTTACTCTTTCTTTCCCTTCCACTCCCCCTCCCCCTAGTCCTACACCTTCGATCGTGTACCACTAGTAAACCGAGTCACACAGGCTGGAGGTAAGGTGGGACGTAAAGCCATCGTCCAAGGTGCATCGCAAAAAGCCACCAGCCGCAATACCTGTACGATTGATTGAACTCAGACTCACTGATGAACGTTCACCCGACCGCTAACGGAACTCATCTGTCTCGCTCTGCCTGGGGTCTCGACAGAGACCCTGACAGCCGTAGCATCTGGTATTATAGGCAGATGGTATTCCCGGCAAAGACAAGGGAGACTGGAATGGCCATTTCTAGCCTATTAGCCGTCGTCAGTCAGTAGTATCCAGACCCAAGTGCCGTCCCACTCGAACCTCGAACTCGCTAATTGGGTCTGGGTATGACTGGCTGACGACGGCTAATAAGCCAAAAATGCCCATTCCAGTCTCTATTGTCTTTGTCAGTAATGCAATCTGCCTGAACTCAGACTCTCAGATGAACTTACACGGACTTCTGCCTAGGCGATAGGGGGTGCCAACACCGATCATCTCCGCTCCACCGATAGCGGCCTCAGAACAACAACGACTCCCGAGGGTTACTTGCTGTACTGTGGCTCAACTACGCAGTGGCTACTCAATGGTCCTTCGCCAGTACCAACACCGGCTCAACCCGTCTACACCCAACAGCTGTCCCGACTGCGGCGTTTTTCTGCATTGCCAATACAAACGAACATGCGAGTCCCACGAAGCAATTGAGAAGAAGACGACTCGATCGCTGGGACAACCCGTTTCTGCTACTGTTTCCCGCTCATGTCCCTGATGATGAATCCGCGACGGATGTCGAAACGTCAAGCGAATAAACGTATTGTTCCAGCGATCGAGTCGTCTTCTTCTCAGTTTCTCT